AGCCCAGCCCAGCCAGCCCAGCCGAGCCTCGCTGACACGAGCCGAGCCTGGCTGAGACGAGCCCAGCCTGCCGGGAGCCAGAGCCGAGCCCACCAATGTGGATTGTTAAGAGTGGCCGTGTAGCCCAGGCAGTTAGGGTGGAATTGATTGGCCTTGGGGTCTATCTGCCCTGGGGAATGGTGAAGGGCACCTCTAGGGGTATCTGGGTGGGTCCTGAAGATGTGGCCGTGAGGTCTACTCTGGCTCCTCGTCCTTCCCACTCTGGCACTCTTTGCCTCCTCTGCTTCCCAGACACCAAGAACTGAGCAGCTCTGCCCTGCCACTGCCTTCCTCCGTGGTGTCTCTCCGCTGGAGCCAGCTGATCATGGACTGAAACCATGAGCAAATCAAAACTCCCTCCTTTAAATTATGGACGTTGGGTCTTGTGTCTCAGCAATGAAAAAGCTGACTAATACAACTCCACCTCACAATATATCCTGAATCCAGCCACCTTCCCTTCTGTGGCTAACACTCTAGTACAGGCCAGCACAGATTCCCACCTGAATCCGGCCCTGGTCTCCCTACTTCCAACCTTGCTGCCTTTCAGTCTCTTGAAATGCAGCCGCCAGAGCACTCAGATCCTACATCACCACCTCACAGTCCTCCGATGCCTGCCCACGGCCTGAGAACACAGCAGGCTTGGCATGACCTGTGAGGAGCTTAATTTTTATTTAAGTATATGTGACAGTTCATCATGATACGTCACTGTGACTGGATTAAGAAATGCCCAGGGCACGATAAGCATGTTTCTGGGTGAGATGTAACTTGGGCACCATGGATCGGCCCTAGACCATATATCATTGTGAGCCACAGTCCTTGCCATTTTGTCAACTGATGTGTCCTCAGTGTCTAGGACAGTGTCTGGTATACAAGAGATACTTAATATCTACTTACTTTTTAATCAGTCTTGGAGACCTCACAACCTCTCTGGCCCCAGTGCTCTCATTTACCAAATCCAGGTTTGAATGAGACACCCCAAAATCGGAACAGGTACATGAAATATCTTTCAGCATTCTAGATGTCACTGTTAGAGTTGTTTATGACATTGTGAGAACACCCTGATTTCTCTTGGTTAGGCTATGCAGAGCACATATTTTCAGCAGCCTGAGAGCCATTACGTTAGCATTAAAGACTGAGGAGGAAGGGGAGCAGAAAAGAAACTAAAATTTATTGATGGTTCAATACATACCACATACATAATAATGTAGGCACTTAGAGCCACGAAGACCTAGACTTAGTGCTTATACTCTCTCAGTTAAGCCATCTAAATCTGATGGCAAGTAATTGCAATAGATTATTTTGACAATTAGATTGGTTTCCCCAACTATATTAGTTAACTGGAAAAGAACACTTCAATCAGGTAACAAATATTTTGCAGAACCCTGAATATACATTTGAGAACAAAACCCATTAAGACTTCTAAGTGAATTCTGGGCATGCTGGAGCACGCCTGTAAACCCAGCACTAGGGAGGCTGAGGCAGGAGGATCACTGTGAGTTTGAAGACAGCCTCAGTTACACGGTGAGTTCAATACCAGCCTGAATTACACAGCAAGACACTGTCTCCAAACAAACAAACAAACAAACACTTTTAGGTGAAGGCATCAGAATCTTCTGACATATTACAGTGAGAGTAAAGATGAACTTAATCACTAAGAAAAATACTGCTGGTCTCTTTAGAGAATAACTAAAAGAAGTTTCAGAATTCAATAAAATTCCTTCAATTCTCTCCATCATATCACATTCAAGGATAGGTGATGGATGTAACGGATCTGAAACATGCTCTAGCCACCCGCAAACACACTATACCTTTGCTGCCCCCACACAGATGCATAAACACACAATCCTCAGACACTAACACATGATGCACATGCGCAGCTGGCACTCACACGCGTCAGAACCAGAACCAACCCCGCCTCGCTCAATCTGGGCCACAGGACTTGCAAGAAAGGACAGGGTGGTGGGGTTTAAGGCGGGAGCACTCACTACCGTTGTTCTCCAGAGCCCCAGGAGCGCTGTTGCTGAAGATCTGATCCACGTGACTTAGTATGAACTCAATCACCACCTGCTGCACCCGCACAGCAAGGAAGGCTGCGTCCCCATTGCAGCCTGCTGCTTCGATGTCTCTGGACCTGAACCAAAGAAGAAACATCCTCCCTGGGGGAGATGCCTCACGGCCCGGGAGTCTGTATAGGCCCCTCTCTTAAATTTATACTTGGTTAATTTGTAGAATATTATAACTGGTTAAGACCAATTAAGGGATCTCTCCAAAGGCTGTGAGCCCAGCTCACTGAATAAACTGAAAAGCTACCCGATACTATAATTGTGAGACTAAACACCATCCCATTAATGTCCAGGAGCCGACTCTTTTGTTTTTTTCTTCAAAGGATCCCCTCTCCCCTCTGTCCAACTGTGGGACAGGTCATTTCATCATTTCAGGCAGCCGAAGCAGCTTAGGCCGGCCGACTCCTCTACAGACAAGAAAAGCTAATGAGCCCCAGCCACAAGAAAGGCCTTTTTGTGAAACTGTAATATACAGATGGACAACATTACCAAATTGTGATTATAGCCAAGGAATGGCTTTGGAACCCGAGTTTCCAAGTTAGCAAGCAAAGAGTTTAGGCTCTTAAAACCACTTTTAATTCCCGTGCGTGGTTAGAGGTCACTTAGTGACAGGTCTGTGTTTTAGGGAGTCTGGAGGATCCCGTCTTCATTTCCATCGTGCTGCTCGAGCCTATAGGGTGAGGGCACAGTAGTTACCTGAGGAGGTTTGGAGCCCACACCAGGGCCAGGTTCCTGGCGTGCATATTGGTCTTGCTGCTGAAGGAGGCGATGCGAGCCAGGTGTCGGATCAAGTACTCCAAGGTCCTGTAATGATTCATTTTGTTTTTGACAAAGTAAGTTCGCCCTTGCGAAGCCTGACATCTGGAGGCCATTTCTAAGTTTGAATTTAAGAGTCTCTATTTCTATCTTAGAGATTTTGAAGGGATGCTGGGAAGATACCAAGATTGGCGGAGGCCATTGTCTTGGCCATGGGCACACTGGCCCAGGGTGGGGACAAGTGTCAGTCTTGTCAGAAGTCAGCTGAGGCCCAGAGAGCGCCAGCCAGGGATAGAACCAGGGAGCCACAGTGCTCAGGGCCTCAAGGTGCTTAGTGGCCCCTTGCTCCTCCTTCTTGGGTGGAAAGGCCTGAAAAAGTTTGAAATGGGATTATTTAGGCTTTTTGGGAAAAAAAAAGTTCTAGCTACAGGTAAGTTCACACTTGTAAGGAAGCTCATGTCATGGATAAACATTTGTGACTGGAAGGGAGTTCCTTCTCACACCACATCAGAATCTGCCCCTTGCAGAAGATGGGCAGGGAGGAGGGGCGTTGGAGATGGAGGCTCACTTAGTGGCTAAGCTGTGAGGATGAAATGGGAGGATGTAGGTGGTGAAGAGGGGACGCTGATGAGCAAGCAGAGGTCACTCAGCCAATTCTGAAGAGCCACAGTCACCCCCTGTTTGAAAGCTACCTGGGTTTCCACAGGTTTGGCTAGGCTATAAATCTGGGTACCAACCAAGAATGTCACCGTGAGGCTGGCTTGTGTGACTGGAATGACTTCCTTGGCAATTCTGGCAAGTGCGCTAGAAGTGACCGGAGACAGGCTGTGCTTTGCTGCCACTGTCCTGTGTGAGGCACCAACTCCCTTTAGAAAGAGCAACGCATTCCCCAGTTTTGAAATGCCCCCAGGAGAGCTACCTCCCGCTGAATCTGCTCTGCTGTAGCACACACCCTGCCCTCTCAAAGCTGTGCCACACTAAGGGACTGTACATTCTTTTCCCCAAGGAATCTTACCTATAATGGGATGCGGGAAGCTCCTGGATAACATTTTGGATGCGGGCCAGTTGGCCTTCTTCTGGGCAATGTGACACTGCCTCCTGTGGAGAAGAACGTGAGCGGTGCCGTGAATACCTGGGAGCCCGGACACCCACCCACACGTGCTGGTCTCCTTCAGGCCCCGGTCCTTTGGGCAGCCTCCTGAGCACACTAGAGACCACCTGCATATGGGGCAAACTCTACGACAAACCAGCCACTATTGCTGAGGGTTTAGGGCGGGAAGTGTCTTGCATCATGTGCACCCATGGGCTAAGTCTAAGTACCCTCAGATGGTTGTCAGGTTTCTGGGAAACAATGTGTCTGATGCTAGGTGTGTCCTGCACGGCAGAGAGTCAGACTCACATGTGGAGGGTAAGATGGAGATGGCACAGTGGTACCCATCTTCTCCACCAGCTGTCTTCGTAGATGCAAACAGCCTTTCCCTACCTCACTTGTGGCTATTCTGTCACCTCGAGTACTTAGCTGCTGCCTGTCCTGCAGGCCAGGAAGCAGGGAAGACATTGCCCTCCTCAGCAGGGATAAGAGTTCTGTCCCTGAGACCAGGCGGCCTTGCCCTCCTTGCTCTCTGGTTGTTTCTTGTGTGGGTATTTTGTTACCCTGTCCGCCCAGGACCTTGCCGGGGAGGCAGGAACGATGGCGTGAAGGCAGTGTTGACTGCCCGCTGGCCCGTGTCCGTCCCTCAACTGCCGGGCTGCTGCATGCATGCAGCTGTTTCTGGGAAGAGTCTAGTGATCCCTGCACCTGTCCTGAGACTCTGTCCTGCCTGCCCAGATCCAAGGGCCCCTCTAGAGCCAGCGCAGGAGTGCTACTGGGCCCAAGTGATGGGAATGGCATCTTTCTGTTTTAATTGATATAATTTACACATATTACAAATCTTAAATTACTGTCCTATGCATTTTTTTCTCATATGTATATGCCTGGGTGGCTGCACCTGGACCAAGACGTATTGTTAAAATGGCTCCTGAGCTTTTTAATTTTTCCTTTTCTTTTTTTTCCTTATTATTTATTTATTTTGAAAGGGAATTGAACCCATGGCCTTTACACTGAGCTACATCCCTAGCCCTTCCATTTTTTTCATTCTTTTTGTCCTTCTTTACTTTCTATAGTCTAGCCTTTATAAAACATTTTTATTTTGAGATTGAGTCTCACTATGTCACCAACTTGCCCAGGCTGGGCTCAAATTTAACAGTCCTCCTGCCCCAGCTTCCTAGAGAACTGGGATTACAGGGCTGTACCACAACATCAGGCATAGGCCTGTTCGACCTTTATAGTCTGGAATTCACAGGCATGTAACTGATAAATTTGTATTTCCTGCTATGAATTTGTATATAATGCTGGGTATAATTATAAATTTTGTTCATTAATTTGATAAATATCACTCCCTGAAATACAACCAAAAGTAAGATCCCAGCTTATGGTTTTTCAATACTGTTCACTTCTTTTCAGTCTTTAGCTGTCATTTGCAGGATTGGGCTTCAAATACTGATCTCCATACTCAGTACGGAGAGTTTTTAGGCACCTTATTTCTCATTAAAAGTGGAAGGCAAGTAACCTTACTGGGACCTTCTGTTTGCCAGGCCCTCTTCTAAGTCACACCTGCTATACGTTCCCTTCTAATTTACAGGAAAACTCTCAGGTCCTGCCCAAACTGGCTCTGCCCATCCTACCAGCCCAGCCCCAGCAGTGACTACTGCCACGTACGCTGTTGAGCGTCTACATGGAGCAGGGCTCCTCGGTGCGGGCAGGCAGTCTCCTTGCTAGAATGTAAGATCTTGCTCATAGAGCGGGGCCTCGGTGCGGGCAGGCAGTCTCCTTGCTAGAATGTAAGATCTTGCTCCCATGTGGGCTATCCTATCGGCGACTTGTTTACCAAGTGTTTTCTTGTTTGCCTTTTTTATTCAATTAAAGTTAAACCAGCACACAGAAGCCCACCCTTTTAAAGGGCAATCAAAACTCTCTTCGTGGGAAGCTAGAGGTCTCTTTCCCAAGGCAGGTGTCGGGAGAGGGGTAGGACCGGCGGTGGGACAGACACAGGTGTCCCAGCCTTCTGCGGAGTTTGCCAGTCAGGATGCAGATATAGCACAGACAAGATCTCTGCTGCCATCTAGCTTTGTGAGATAATGAGGATGGGGAGCAGGGGCAAGAATGGGGCCTATGGGGCCTGGCACGGTGGCACACTCCTGTAACCCTAGCTTCTTAGGAGGCTGAGGCAGGAGGACTGCAAGTTTGAGGCCAGATCCTGTCTCAAAATAAAAAAGCTCCGTGTACAGTACCACCGGGTGATCCTCAGTACAGAATGGTGGTGGTGCTGCTGGTGGTGGTAGGGCTCCAGAAAGCACCTTGACTCCTTCCTCTTTCCCCTTTGGCTGTTATGAGGAGAGGACCCTGGCTCCACAAGGCAGGAAAGATCCCTCTAGGGGGTGCTGCCCAAAGGTGTCACCCCCACTTCCACCGTGCCAGCAGAGGGCGTTGGGAGGCCTCTTCTCTCTCTGCACTGCCAGGATCCGGCTCTCCAAAGCTGTACACCACTACCCTTAAAGCCAAACCTGACTGGGAACAAAGGTGTGGGTCAAATCATCTCCCTCATGCAAAGTTCCTTTAATAGTTAGGAAGTTGTCAGTCAGGAGCAAGACTCCCTATGCTTGCAGGTCCCAGTTGGGATTGGCACTTATTTCACTGTTCACAACCTCTCCCTGTCACACCCCAGTCCTTTCGGGGAAACTCTCTAGATCCTCGTCTTTCTCCTGGATGGGTCTGGTCACTCCAAACTTGCTCAACTCTTTTATGTTCCCCCAGGAGGGTTTGGAAGAGTTCATCATGGGGCGATAGAGAGAGGTGAGCTGAAACTGTGCCTGCTGTGTGGGAGCGAATTTCACTTTAGCCTGGCCAACCTGACTGATAGTTAAATCTGAAAATATCTAAGATGAATTCTCTTCCAATCTGTATCAACAAAACCAGCTTTCTCCATGAGTATTCCAGCAAAGATGAGGCTCTGGTCTTCGAGGCAGAGCCCTCACTCTGGGCTTCTCTGTCTCTCCAAAGCCACCACTGCCTGAGGCTCAAGTTCCCCAGCCTGCACAACCCTGTGGCTGGAGGTGTCCAACATAAACAGCCTGGAGCTCGCCCCCAATGGTGAGTGGGATCACCTAAAGTTATTATAAAAGCATTTTATTTTAAACCAATAACCAGATTTTTAAAAAACATATATATCTATATCTATATTTTTTAAAGCCAGGCTAAGTGGCACATGTTTGTAATCCCAGCACGTGAAAAGGTTAGGCAGAAGAATCATGAGTTTAAAACCAGCCTGGACAACGTGAATCCTAGGCCAGCTGGGGTTGAATGGCAAGACCCTGTCTCAAGGAGGGAAAAAGCAGATATCCACAGAGGAAAGTGAGTTTCCTTCTACCTGTAGACCCCCAGTCTCTAGAGGCAACCACTGTGTGTCCTTGCACACAGTGCACCTGTACCCAAGTGTCTTTGGTACACCGTGGGAGCAAGTGCTGCTGGGAGATCTGGCCATCTGTGAATTCCTCCACTCCCTCTCCCCGTCCCCTCTGCTTTGCTTCTTCTTCACTGGACACCCTGGCTTCCTCATGCTCCCCGCTGCTTGGCATATCCCTGTGAGAAACTGCAGTCCTGTCTTTTCTATCAAAGGCTATAAACTGGAGGGCCTCTATCTTAGACTCTAGTCTACCCTAACCTACCCTCTCTCACCCCTTACCAAAGCTAGCTTCTCAACAGCCAGGACTTTCTGTTCCCCACGCCCTCTCCCCTCCTGCTCTCTCTTCCTCTCTTCTCCTTCAGATCATCCTCTCATGAAACTTAAACTAGCCAACTGCAAAAGATTGTGAGCCTTAGAATTCAGCCAGTGAACTTAAAGGATAGCTGTTTCCTTAGCATCAGGGCTTAAAACCTTGCTTCCCTGCTGCTCTGGGCACTTGCTGCCTCATTGCTGGGCTATGCTTGCACTCTTTCCAAAAGTAAAAGCCTTGTCAAATTTTCTTGACATCTGAGCACTTTATTACCTACCCTGACCAAATGGGTCTAGGGGCTCATTTCTGACACCCCCCCCGGGTCTTTTCACTTGCTACTGCTTCTTGGTACTCTCTTCCCCCAGATATCTGCATAAGCTGCGCCCTCATTTCCTCATCTCTGTTCAAATGTCACCTCAAACAGAGACCTCTGATCACCCTACCTAAAACAGCTAGCTGTCCCCATCATTCTTCCCCAATATGGTGTTATTTTTCTTCACGGTATTTAACAACAGTTCTCACTATGGATCAGTGCCTTACAGGTTTTTACTGTCTCTTTCTGCCATAAAAGGGAAGCTTCCCTAAAGCAAGGACTGCGTCTGTCTTCCTTGCTAGGAAATCTCTAGCTTCTGGAAGTTTGCCACCAGGTATACATAGTAGGTGCCCAATACACATTTGTGCAATGGAAAGATTTCACTTTGTTCTTGAAAATGTCAGACAGCTGCATATGGGCCATGCTTCCAGGACCAGACTTATGACTGCTGCCAAATGCGATGAACACCAGCCTTGCTGAGCCCCCCCCATCTGCGTTTGCCCCACCCTGAACTTTCAGTGTGAAAGGTGGGAGAGACCTTGGCAAACCCAGGCAGTTGGCCACTGCCCACTCTCCTTGTGCCACCTTGAGCTCACAGCCCATCTGCCTTTGCCGTAGCCCGTGCTAGTTCTCAGTCTCAGGTAACATCTCAGAAGCTGTTCCAACACACCTGCCAGCAAAGTAACAATTTACTAAGTGACAGTACAACACTTCCCAGCATCTGGAGAGCAGGGAAAAGGAACACAGCAATTAATAAAAACAAGAACAAAAACACAGCTCCTGTCTTCAGAAAGCTGCTAACTTAATAAGGGAGTTGGATACATAAATAAATCACTTCAATACAAATCCAGTATATAATTAAGCTGGTATCCTTTAAAAACCCTAAGTCAACAACATTCTCCTACTTTGGATGTAATACTTTTAGCTGGATCAATCTGAACCAAGACAAATTTTTCTTAAGACGAATGTTGCT